AGCGTCTCCGGGCTCGGTTTCAAGCCCTGGCCTCGGCTGGGCGTCCTCCTCCTCGTCCCGCAGGGGGCTGTGCCCATCCTCCACATCTTCGCGCTGGATGCAGAGCCACACCGTGCTGTGAACTTCCACCGCCATTCACCCGAATCGCAGTGTTCCTTTACTGGGTCAAAATTATGGAAGAAAGAAAACCAAACCGCATGTTACGACACAGAAAATAAGAGGGGAAGGCACAAAGCTTATCTCACAGCTCCACGATCGAGGAACAGCCCAGACGTTGTCTGTCACAGAGGATTCACAGCCTAAGGAGCCCCCAAGTACGTCCGGGCAATTTCCCCTCGGCAGCATGGAGAGAAAGCAGCCCCCAATGCAGCAGAGCAAGGGCATCCCCCTCACCCCACCAGGAATCCCTTGTCCACCTACACACGTGCTGTTTCTCCATACTCCTCAAGGGAGCTCACCACCCCAACACGTCAGCTCATGTTTCTCTGGTGATTAAAAAGAAAATGACAGTCTCGGACGTCCAGTCGATTTCACAGCAGCTGCTCTGTGGGCAGAATTCACCTCTCCGCTCCTTCCAGCCACTCCGTTCCAGCAGGACCTACTGGTTGTGTCATTAACTGCTGTGACAGGCACGTGCGTGGGTACCACACAGGTCAGACCACCGCAGATATGGTTCCTATCACCAGGCACTGCCAATCCCCAGCCTAAACCAAGGGAATGAGAAAGATGATAACGTAATACAAACAGCTGCTGGACCCAGAAATTGCAGCTTTGAAGGATCTTTCCAAACAAACTTTCTGAATTCCCAGAAATACAGGCCACATGATGACCTAGACAATTGTGTGCATTTGTGACTAGACGGTTAACAGAACCTTGGTATCCACACACTACTTACCTACTTCTTAGCAGAGCATCAGAGCAGTTTTAACTGTTTAACTGCAGTGAAGAATAAGCATTAATGTGGCAACCACAGCTCTGACTCAGCAGTGGCACTCTGGCCAGCTTTAAGGGGGTATCTAGGACACCATCTGCTCCCCAAGATATCCACACCTCTTCTATAACGTGTTCCTGGAATACTTTTGTTACTTGTGCTAGGAACTTGGCCCATTGCTCAAGTTCTCGTGAGTAGGGCACTGCATCATGACACCATCAGCCGTTTGCACTGCAGTACAGAAACACTGCGCACATTCAACGCAAGAGCAAAGGTCTGACTATGGGCAAACCATGATCCCTCCCAGAACACTCTCACCAGCCTCTTCTTTATTTCTAATCTGTCACCTGCTCACTTCATTTGACGGCACTTAGATTTTGTACTGGGAAAGCCCATGAACAGTCATTCCTTATTCACCTCCTCTGTCCTCTCAGGGTTTCACAGATCTGCACCGTTGCTCTTCCAGGCTGGTGAGCTCTCAATCACGTAATTACTCCTCCAGAAGTTTTCCCATAACTTTGATTATTATTGTCGTCCTTTCTTAAGCCTTTTTCAGGTGTAACTCCAGCCAGGTGCCAGGCATCATCTGCAAAGATCCAGGAGGGAGAATAGGCAAAGACAAACAAAACCACACTTCACACCTACAGCCGTGCCTTCCTGCCAAGAGCCTGAAGACACCCAAAAGAGCCCACAACCTGCAGGATGCTGATATGGAGGCAGCCATGATAATGATGGAAGAGCTGTACAGCAACTTAAACTCCTCTCCACCTACGCAGGAGCAGAGGATGCCAAAGTTGACTTCAGTGGAGGGGTCTCCTAGGGCAATCCCCACAGTTTTCTGCAGAATGATCCAAGCCCAAGGTAGAGACAAAGCTCACCCCACTTCCCCAGCCTGTGCACCCCCACCAAAGAGAACCTGATGGGTGCTAATTACTGCCAGCAGGCTCAGTATTACTATTTACTCAGCAGCTATTCATGTCCTCCCTGCAGCCAGAAAACTAATCGACAGAGTTCATTTCAAAGCCCAGAACAAGAAATAAGCAAGAGTCAATTCCAACTTCCACATCAGCCTTTTTCCAAGACAACAGAGAAAGATATCCTATAGCAAAGATCCCTGACACTAGACATGCCTAGGAACAGCAAGATCTAGTTACTGAGAGAAGAGTTGAAGGCTTCACTGACAGTTATTTAGACCTGGAGATCACTCTCTGCACAGCCCTCCCTGTCCTAGTAATAGCCTTCCAAGAAGGAAAAATCCATTTCTGACAAAAAGACATTGTGTTATTCCATTATTCCATCTGCCAGATTTGTTCCTGGATTTAAAAAAAAAAACCACAACAAACTGAAATTATTTTTTTCTCTATAACATGGATCATTTGAGAAAAAAGTATGACCATTTATGCCAAACTTCATTTTATTTCTTTATTTTACAAACAAAAATATACATTTATTCTATATTTTCTCTCTCTGCATTCCCTCCACACACATAGCACACTCTGCTCAAGGACCATTGTGAATATGGTCTAAAGCATTATATGTACACAAAAATACAACAGGAGGAAGGTCACTCCATGACCTAGCGCAGAAGCTCCTCAGCAGCAGAAAGTGGGACACTCCATAAATACTGGGGTCCTGCCAGCAAAGGACAGGATGGACATGCCGACCACCTGCACAGGTGATCCTTCAGCACTGAATTCAGCTGATAAAAACACAAATTCACAACCTGCTCTTCACGTCACCAAGGAGGGCAGATTAAGTCCTCTCGGTCAGGGTGCTGAGAGTCAGCAAACACTCCTTGGGAGAGAAAAGCAGTTGCTCCTTTATTTCTCAACTGCTTTAAGACCTTCATATCTTTTGGCTGTGTTCAAGACCCACCAACTCCAGAGAAGCTTTGCAGGTTTCCCCAGGCTTTCTAACAGCAGCTCAGGATCAGTGTTGTGAGCAGCAGCAGGAGCAGCAGCAGGGCAATCCAGGCACCACGTCGTCCATCCCTTTCAGAGTAAGAAAGCAAGCGTGGCTCAGGCCGACTCACAGCAAGTGACAGGAGGAACACGGGACACTTCTCTAACGTGGCAAGGGCTGACTTGGCCAGTTGCTTGACCAGCCCTGACAGTCATTGCACAGAGGGGAAACATGAAAGGCTGTTGACTCACATAAGACAATTCAGCTCTCACACATGGACAAACAGAAGCCTTTTTTCACCAAAAGTAAATTTTTTTTAAAAAAGTGTGGGGGGTGTTGTTTCTTTTCAAGGTGCAGGTGCTACTTAGAGGCCTGCAGGGCAAAGTCCACAGGCAGAACAGAGAGGCTGCATTGCTCATTAACAACAAACGATAAGCAAAGGGTCTGCATAGTTTTAGCAACCAATATGAACTTTGTGTTATTACCCAAACTTTCCCTATGGTGGAAAAAACTGGTAGCAAGTGCTTTCCCCTACCTGCTCACGATCCAAACTAACACCACGCTGCACCCTGCATGACGATTTTCCAGAACTCTTACCTCAATATTCTTCAGGAACAGCAATGATTTGGGTCAAGAGATTCACAGTCCCAAAATGTTTCAAATTCCCGCTTTCTACCATCTCTAATGGAAAGTTGCTATTGCTTATAGCAGATTTCCACCTACCTGGAGGACTCAGGTAGAAAATCACCCCCAAAGCTAGAGGAATACACCTCTTCATCCTTGGAGGGCATAGTACGTCCTAGAAACCAGTCTGATGCAGGTTTCAGCTGAACAGTCCCTGGACTGAAACACAATGTCTTGAAGCTGTTTGCCAGGCAGCTCAGACAACAGTAGTCCCTTTTCCAGCATGGAGGAGGTTAATAAGTTCCAGATAGTCTTTAAATCAACCACACTCCACATGCACATAAGTATTCTCAACATGTCAAGCCATAAAACCTACTCAGACCAGCAGAAGTCTGGGGATCTGAACTGCAACGTAAGAGGTGACTGCCAGAGAAATACGCCCATCTCCCACTTGCCTCCCAACTTAGAGCTCCAGCCAGCTTGATTCTAGCACACCTACGGTGTTTGAGAGTTTCCAGTCACTAAATACTGACAGGTCGGACTCATCATGGGCTTCTGCTCTGCCTCAGGCACCTGAACATCTCTGGAGCCTTCATCTGCAGAGTCAGCTTCCTCCTTCGCAGCACTCTCCAAGACCTTGCCAGAGCCATGATGCAGGGTGCAGATGGAACACGCACCTACCTCACAGGTTTTATTGTTGAAACTCAGCCCTGACTCAGTGTTGTTACCTAGATTCTCCTGTGAGCTCAGATGCACAGTAGTACAACCTCCATAGATTGTTTCACAGCTACCCCAGCTCAGCTAGACAGCAGCACTGTCTGACCTTCTGCCTCCCTATTGTTCAGTCAGTTTACGACCATGCTGCCAGCTACCAGCCTCCCAAAACGCTCCCAGGGTACAAAGAACAATTTATTCCTCTTCATACCTCTCTCCTTCCCACACACTCAGAACACTCCTTTTAATCCCTAGCAACTGCAACTCATTATTTCCATCAGTATTAGCCAAAACCAGAGATGAGCCTGGCTGACCAGCTTCCCTCTTCAGACGCTGCTATCACCACCTGTGCTGTTGCATTATGGCAAGACTCAGGCAGCTGTGCTGCTTGAAAACACCCAGGAGGACCATCTTTGGTTTCAACCACCAAATTCTTTCTATATATGTACAATACAACAGTCAAATCAACACTCTCATCCCTAAACACCATTCCTATAATTGGCAGGCAAGTGCTTTCAGTTATTGAAAAGGAAGAGGTGACAGTCAGGCCTGTCTTCTGGGTCATATTCACATCTGGAACACGAAGGATCAGGAAGTTTCAGTGTTTATAGGTTTATGAACAGAACTGTTCTACATTGTTCTCAGGTAGTGACAGAAAAATGTTCTTTCCAAGAGGATTTGGGCTGCCAACTTAGTTCCACTATAGGTTTCAGAAATCCTAAGGAAGAGAGGAAAGGCATGGCAGATATCCAAGGATAGATTTCCAACAGACATCCTAACAGCTGTGGTGTCAGGGAGTTTGGAACGAAAGGAAGCGGGTAGCCCTGCCTTAGGCATTGATGGCTTTCCAGCGGTCACTGTCTATGCTGTTGATGCTGCCCACATGATACGGCATAGAGGCCACGTCATCCAGGTAGGCTGTGGTGTCAATCTGAGTGCTGGAGTAGAACCCGGAATCCATTCCTTCCTTCTTGGCAACAGCATAGGGGTGGGGTAGGTGCACGTCCACATCCTCAGGTTCATCCACCTGACATTTGTAGGAGAAAAGGATCTTCGGTTCAGACCTGGAGTGATTGAAGATTTAAAATACAGGTTTAAGCAATGTGGTATCACAGCCACTTATCCTCAACTGAAACTCAGCAGCAGTAAGTAATTGCGTATTCAGACCTTTCACGCTATCCTTCAGTCCTGAAATACACTTAGCAAAGTAACTGCCATAAAGTAATGCTAAATGTAGCTTTTGACTAAGTCACCTAAGAGAAATTAAAATGGCATAATCCTGACTCTGGTGTTGGAAACGTGTTCTTATCTTTGGGAGTTCTGAATTACTGAGGACAACAGCATCCAAACACCACTGGACTCCACGGCAGCCTGGTTACTGACACCACAGAACAGGAGTCCACCTCAAGTTCCATCTGTGCGCATCAGGAAAACCAAAATACAAACACTTGTGGGTCAGAAGTTTCCATCTCTAACTCCAGACATTGTTGTCTTCTGATTTCAGAAGGTAGCAGAGGCACATTTTTGTATTTCAGGAGTGCTTTACATTCTTAGTTATTTTAAAGCCTGCTATTTCTTGCTTATGGACACCAAAACCCAAAGCCTACACAACACTCGGGTTTTCCTACCAAGATGCATCTCTTCTGAGTGGCCACACGGCGGCAACACCAACCTAAGAATCACACTCCCGAGTAATTTTAACTGGTGACTCTTCGGCCCATTGTAGAGGAGGACTCAGCCAAAGAGTTACCCAACCCCTAGCTCCTTTCTACAAACCTCTCTCAAAACCCACCTAGGAGACCATTTAACCTTCCGGACTCAGTCTCTCACTAACCATTTGTACTAATTTCAGCGGAAAAAACTTTGTACTAAACAGGACACAGACACTGAAGAAGTTATCCTCATGAATGCTTTAGAGGAATACAGCTATCAGTTCTACTTTGCATACAAAGGAGTCTTGGAGAGAAGCAAGCAGCCCTGGGTCACAAAAGAAGAGCTTCAAGGCCAGAAATGAAAAACTAGTTCCCAAACTGGCACTCTAGTCACTGCCTTTACTCTACAGATGGGAAGAACTTGAGTGCAAAACAATTAAGTGAGAATATACACCCTCTAAACTCTTTTTCC